AGCTCAAACAAAAAAGAGATTTTTTTTTAAAAAAGCTATCAACCACAAATTCTATACCAGCAAAACTACTCTTCAAGAATGGAAAAATTTACATACTCTCACATATAGAAAATTGAGAAAATTTATTGCTAGCACACCTATCCAACAAGAAATATTAAAGAGAGTCCTGCAGGCTGATAGGAAAGGACCCTAGATAGTAACTTGAATCTACACAAAGAAACAAAGAACACTAATAAAGGTAACTACATAAATACAAAGTTCAGTATAATAAATTTTTTGTTTGTAACATTTTTAAATCCTAGTTGATTTAAACAACTTCAGAAAGCAATAATTATAAAACTTTTGGTTTATAATGCTTATAATATATAGAAATTTAGTGATATAATAACACAAAAACGGAAAAGGGAGCAAAGCTATATTGGAATAAGTTTTTTGTCTACTATTGAAATTAACTTGGTATTAATCCGAACTAGATGGTTCTAAGTTGTTAATTGTAATCCCCAGGGAAGCCATTAATATACTCATAGTAAAAAAGAATCAAAGAAATTAAAATAATAGACTAGAAAATATTTAACACAAAAGAAGGCATTAATGGAGGACTAGAGGAACAAAAAGGCCATAAGACACTCAGAAAACAAATAACAAAATGAAAGACATAAAATTCTACCTTACTAGTAATTACATTAAATGTATTTGGACTATAACATATGCATTTTATGTATGTATAGATCAAACACTTAAAAAATCTATAAAAAGATACACTCAAAAACACTGTCGATAAATCAAATTCTAAAAAATGTTCAAGTAACCCACAAGAAAGGGGAAAAAAATTTAAAAAGAGGGAATAAACAGAAAATAATAAAATAGCAAATTTAAGTCCTGATGTATCAATAATTACAGTAAATGTAAATGGTCTAGATACACCAATAAGAAAATCAGTTGCCCATATTTGTGTACACCAATTCCTGTAAACTCTAATCAGTTAAATTGATGTATGTGTCATTTCACCAATATCACACTGTCTTGATTACTGTAGCTTATAGTAATTCTTAAATTCAGGTAGTGCAAGGGTTCCAATTTAATCTTTTTAAAAATCGACTTGGCTATTCTAGTTCCTTTGCCTTTCACATAAATTTTAGAATGAGCTTGTATCTACAAAAAATGTCCTGTTTGGATTTTTATTGGAGCTGTATTAAATCTAAATCAATTTGGAGAGAATTGACATCTCGCAAATATTGAAATTGTGTAGAATTGGTGTTCTTTTTTAGATTTGATAGAATTTGCCAGTGAAACTATTTGGACCTGGAGATTTCTATTGTAGAAAATCTTAAACTATGAATTCAATGTCTTCAAGAGTTATAAGGACAAATTCAGGTTATTTATGCTCTCTTATATGAGGTTTAGTCATTTGTGACTTTAGAGGAACTGGTATATTTCATCTATAATCTCAAATTTGTGTGCATACTGATATTTGTAGTATCCTCTTATCCCTTTAATTTCTTGCAGGATTTCTAGAAATATTTCCTTTTTCAATCCTGATACTGGCATTTTGTATCTTTTGTCTTTTCTTAATTAGTCTGCCTAGAGGTTTATCAATGTTATTGATCTTTGCAAAGAACAAGCTTTCGGTTTTATTGATTTCCTTTATTTTCTGTTTTCAATATCATTGATTTCTACTCTTATTTCCTTCATCTTGTCTTGGATTTATTTTGCTGCACTTTTTCTAGCTTCTAATCCACTTTAGATTATTGATTTGATACTTTTCTAGTATAAGCATTTAGTACAATAAATTTAACTTTTCCAGAAGTGCACCAGAGGACATGTATTCATATTTCAAGCTTAAACCAACTATTGGCAAAAAGAATGACACTTCCATTATTTGTTGAGACCAGTCGTTTTCAACTTTGGCTGTGCTTTAGAATCAACTGGGAGCTACTGAAAATCTCATGTCCATATCCCAAGCCAGAAAAAAAGGAGAGAAAAAAATTAGAATTTCTGAAAGTGGGCCCAAGTGGGCCCTAAGCATCAGTATTTTTAAAAAAGCTTCCAGGGTAATTCTAATGTGAAGCCAAGGTTGAGAACCACAATCTTAGACTCCTGTTGATACAACCCGGAGGGTTGGGACCAGGACCCACCACCCATAAAGCACAAATGACTTGGGAAGAAAGAATCCAACCAAAATTGAAATTCTGTTAGGAAGGGAAGCAAACACATGTGATGGTACACAGATATAAGCTACAGAGATCCAGGACCAATAATGCCTTCTTACAGACATGGTCTCTACATCTATAAATAGTAATAACTACTATTCTTACTATTAATATAATAATCCCTATTATAAGATTGTAATAGGGATTAATAAGTATTAATAGTTTCATATGTATGATTCCTAGTATTCAGCAGGTGCTTAACTTGAGATATTCTGATCTCACCAAACCCGATGTGGCATTTGTGCTTCCAATTGGCAGTAGGAACCCCATATTCTTTAGGCCACATCACCAAATCACCTAGTATCTTGACCTCGATAAGTAACAGCTCAGAAAAAAACCCTTGAATGTAACTCCTCAGTGGATAAGCTTATCATAAATGAGTCAGTAAACTGAGAAAATTATGCTGAAAGTCAGGAAACCTACTAAGACAGGCAGTCATTTAACATCTCCTAGTCTGAATTTCTTAAGTTCTACAACTGGACCAAGTCAAAACACCAAAATGCTACATACTAGACCTATATTATCTCATGAACTGACAAAAAAATTGAGTTTTACTGTTATGTACCTTTTAATAACTGACCACAAAAAAGAGCCGTATAAATAACCTGTCACAAAGAATTTTAGAAATGAGAATCTTGTCTACTCTAATGATTTCCATAATTAAGACCCACATAAGAATTTTTTTTATGAAATTATTATAAGAGGTTTTACCTCCCACCTTCTTCCTGATAATGAGAAATAAGTAGCTGATCACTTCATCCTTTTTGCTTTGTCTTCAGAGAAGATCAGAGATAAACTGAATACAGCCTTGATAACCATGCTGGCCAAATGACATGTATGTACAAATGACATCCGTGTACAGATTTTCCCATACAACTTTTGTACCTATTTTTCTCCTGGCCTCGCTTTTTAAAACTGACTATGGTTTTATTATACGGACCTCACAGGAGGAAACCAAGGGGCGGCAGAGACAGCAGAGGGAGGTAGGAATCAAGCTTGGTATGGCCGAGACGCCAGACTACAGAGCACCTTTAAACCAGGCAGACAAACGGATCTTGATTCAGGAGCTATACAATGGAGGCGCAGCTGAAGCAGTACGCTGGGAAATCAGTTCTGAGGAAACCCGAGTGAACTGCAGAGAAGAAAGTGGAGCAGGGAAGCAGGTGATCAGCTGGAAGGTGCTGCAATAACCCAGGTACGAGAGATCCACACCCTAATGGCTGCTTTTGGTGCACGGGGCACATTCCAGAGAACATGTCTCTCTTCCAGCTGGCTTTAACACAAGGGATTTCGCTAACACAGATATGTCTGCCTCTTCAAAATAATCAGTTGTAAAATAAGAGGTTTTTAAACTTCTCTATTGACTTCTAAGTCTCTCAAACCTCTGCTAGGTCTTTTAAGTTTGCAAGTGAGATGAGTACTGCTTCAGGAATATAAGAATTATTTTTTTCTTATATATAAACTTTATATATAAATATTTATGCTTCACAAGTATCAAACTATACATGAGGTAACATCAGGAAATAAACTGTTAGATTGTAATATATATAACAATTTATACTGTAATCTAATAATTACAAGTATTTACAGAGCTTATGAAAATAAAAAAAATAAAACATAAACATTCCTATTTATTCCCTTTCTATGCAATGGATTACATTATCCACTTCATAAGGTTGTTAAGCTTAAACAAGAGGCTTAAATAAGAAAGTTAAACAGTATAAAATAAAATAGCATAGTACCTGGCACATGGAAAGTGTGCGTTAAGGTTGGCTTATTATTCATGTGGGCGAATGTCAGCTTACAATACAGGTTTGCCATAAAATTTACCTTCTACAAGTGTGAGCTATGACAGTCTCTTGAATTCCTTAAAGTTATATATAATCTTTAAAGAAGACAGAAAGTATCTATTCTATGGGTTATAACTACTCTCTTGTACAATTTCATTAAATTACCAAAGATTTTTGTAACAGACCCCTTTAAAGAGCCAGCTTGCCTCTCTCCTCTGTGATTTCCTTTAGCAGCTTCCACTGCCTCGCCCTCTTCTGTAGCCACAGCGAGCGAGTGGACCAAACAGCCTGGCAGACAGCAACCGGGCACTGAGAGATGACTCACTCTCAGGTCAGTCTCCTGCTTCTAAGGGCCCAGGATCTATCCCGGTTTCCTACTTTCTTAGCTCTTGCCTGATAAACCTTTGCTTGGAATATACGCAATTCCATTTCTTGCTTTATTGGGATTAGATTACAACCAAAATAACTTTGACTCTTGTTTTCAAAGAGGACTTTGCTAATAAGTATCACTAGCTTTGGTTTACTTTATATGTCCAACAAGTTAGTAATACTACTATTTTTCCAAGCAATAAAACAATATGATGATGACAGTTTCAATTTCATGGCATTTATCTAATAATAATCAATACTACTATATAGAAATGCATATTTACAATGTCATTATTTATACTTGGAAAATTTTGTATTTGAATATTATGTTAAAGACATCATTACACTTCTAAAGTTTATATTTTACACAAGTGTATAATCTGACTACAGTTTATAAACCAATGAGAAAGATAAATATTCTTATATATTAATAACAGAAAAGTTAAGAACTCGAAGTTTAGGAATGATATAGCAAGAGATATTTTTCCATTTTATTTAGAACAGTAAGAAACTGGAATCGATTTTATTTATTATAATACTAAGAAATTGGAAACAAATGTCCAACAAGAAATTTGTTTAAAATATTATAAAACCATAATTTATTTTAACCCTCAAAGGAAATTGTGAGCAACCATTAAAAACATGTGAAAATGTTTAATGACATGAAAAGATCTAGCTCTATTTTTATAGTCCACCTATTATGCCAATGTCTTCCTAGCAGTTTTCTCTCCTCAAACCTCCTGTACCTCTTCGCGCATCCTCACTCAGCCTAACTTTGCTTTCTATTTTATTGAGAAAACTAAATCAATCAGAAGAGACTTCTGCAACCCACCAGCCAGCATCTCTGCCATATATGCTGCTCTCCTGTTCCAGTGGCCAGAACATCTCAGGGAAGACCAATCCCTTATATACTTGTACACTAGATCCCAGCCCTCTGCCCATCCATTAAAGAAGCTGCACATCATTCCAATGACACAAGAGGGCGCTTTGAATGAAGAATCCTGTAAACTACTCCAAATCACCAGTCTTGAACAGGCATAGGCTTAAGCATTCTTCATCTATACAATGCTACAGAAGAAAACAGAGAACAAAAAACACATTGTGAAAATTACCAACTTAGCCACACTTACCGCCCCCTCCCCCACAAAAAGAAAACCCATGCAGCAGAAGAAAACTAAAACACAAACATCTAAACAATTAAAGACTCCTCTTTGGGAAAACAAAATACCTTGAATCGAAATTCAAAAACTTAAGATTAGAACCGAACAAAGAAATAGAAGTAATGCAACAAGAGTTGACTGACATCAGAAATGATACAAGGAAATAAAATCATATTTAAAATGAAGACTACGTTACAAGAAAGAATAGATTTGAATGGAAACATAATAAGAGTTATTGGACAAAAGCAGAAAAATAACAAAAAGAATAAAAATGAGATGAAAAAAGAAAAAATAAAGAGCAAAGAAAACACATGATAGAGAAAACATGCAAATGTAACACAGTAACTATACAATGATAGCAACTAAGTCAAATGTTTGGTCATATCAATAAATGTGAATGGACTTAATTCACCTATCAAAAGAAAAAGATTTTGGTTTAGCTCACAGGGCAAAAGCCAACTATATATGTTCCATACAAGAAACAAACCTAAAAATTATTCAGAAAAGCTAAAAATAAAATGATGGGCAAATGAATATTAAAAGCAAATGGAAACAAATTTCAAGATGCAGTGCAGAATATCAAACCACATCAATAAACTTGTACTACTGCATTAAAATCCATTGGTCATATTGTGGGTTGGATGGATGTCTTACTCATGAATAATTGTGTATCATGCATTGTTTATCTGGAAATTATTAGTGCACTAATTTATGCAGATCTTACAAATGTTTCATTATATGGTTTAGTGCTTTAAAAATCACATTGCTTAATATAATCAATAAATCTCACCAAAAAATCTTTAGGTATGGGAAAGCTTTTAAGCTCACAGAGGCAGATCAGATGTTCTAAAATTGTAATTTTTGCTCAAAAGCTTGAATTTTATCATTGATAACAAATATTTTCAGTTGTCCTCCTTGAAGTGACAGGGTTACTCTGTCATTTGTGGAAAAGCTCCTGCCAAACATCTATATCTTTTTTATTTTTTTTTTTAAGAGATAGGGTCTTGCTATGTTGCCCAGGCTGGACTCAAAACTTGAACTCCTGGGCTCAAGCAATCCTCCTGCCTCAGCCTCCTGAGCAGCTGGGACTACAGGTACACACTACCTCGCCCAGATCTCAGTTGTTCTTTCAAGTAAAACTAATATTCATGAAAAATAGCTAATTCAGCTTGCAACTCAGATATTTTCCTTGATAATACCACTTCAGTATGCAGTTATATATATTCCCATTTTGCTAGACATAATATTAAAAAGACTGTATGAGTTGAGGTTTAATAACATTAATAATTTTTATTGCTTCATCAAGGCAATTCTTAAACAAAACTGGCACCAGATGCACATGTTTTCAGAGGGGAACTCTATTCAAGGTTTAGAAACTGGACAGTCTTATCAAAACATAAACTCTTCTAGTGAAAACTAGAAGAATATGCCTCTACTATTTCCCCATTAAGTATGATGCTGATTTTCTTATTAAGGTATAACACATTTTTGCATGTTAAGAAAATATCCATCCTATGATCGTATACATAGAAAACCTTAACACAAAAAAATCAGTTGCATTTCTACACACTAACAATGAACAATCTAAAAAGGAAATTAAAAAAAAATTCCATTTACAATAGCATCTAAAAGGATAAAATACAGCTAACCCTTGAACAACACAAGTTCGAACTGTGTGGGTCCACTTACATATGGATGTTTTTCAATAAATATACTGGAAAAGTTTTTGGAGATTTGTGACAATTTGAAAAACCTCACAGATAAACTGCATACCCTAGCAATATTGAAAAAATTAAGAAAAAGTTATAAACATATAAAATACATGTAGATACTAGTCTATTTATATGTTAATCAACTGTTTGTATTATCTGTAAGGCTTCTCGTAAAGTTAAGTTTTTAAGGAAGTTAAGTTTTTGGGAAGTCAAAAGTTATATGTAGATTTTTTTACTACCTGGGGGTGGCACCCCTAACCCCCATTTATTCAAGGGTCAACTTGAATAAATCCTTGTACTTAGGATTTAACCAAGGAGATGAGACTTGCACAATAAAAATTATAAAATGTTGCTCAATACAATCTCCATCAAAACTGAAATGATGGTTTTTGCAGAAACAGAAAAATCTACCCTAAAATTCACATGAAATCTCAAGGGACCCCGAATAGTCAAAACACTCTTGAAAAAGAACAAAGTCAGGGGACTCATACTTCTGATTTGAAAAGTTACTACAAAGCTATAGTAATCAAAACAGTGTGGTACCAGCATAAAGACAGACATACAGACCAATGGAACAGAATAGAGAGGCTGGAAATAAATCTTAACATATATGGTCAAATAACTGTTGAGAAGGGTGCCAAGACCATTCAATGGGGGAAGGACACTTTTTAAACAAATGGTGCTGGGAAAACTGGATACGTACATGCAAAAGAATGAAGTTGGACCCTTACCTTAGATAATACATACAAATTAACTCAAAATGGATCAAAGACCTAAACATAAGAGCTAAAGCTATAGAACTCCTAGAAGATTATATAAGGGAAAGTCTTCACAACACAGAATTTGGCAATGATTTCTTGTGTATGACAGACACCAAAGGCATAGGCAACAAAATTAAAAATAGATATAACTTAGGCTTCATGAAAATGAAAAACTTTGCAAAGGACACTATCAACAGAGTGATAGCATATTCCTGTGCCCTTTAAGGTGACTGGGAAAAGACTGAGAAAAGACTTGCCACACATACTTCAGAAAGGATTTTATCATGAATATATAAAATTAATGTATAAAGGACAAGCAGACCAATAAAAACATGGGCAAAAGACATCAATAGGGATTTCACCAAAAATGAAACTCAAAGGTCTATAAGCATGAGATGCTGTACTTCATGCAAATAAAGCTGTGAGACTATATTTTTACACCCATTAAATTAACCAAAAAAAATTAAAGTATTAGCAATATAAAAATGTTGGTAAGTGTGGAATAACAAGAGTTCTTCTACACAGTTTTTAGGAGTATAAACTGTTATGACTCCTTTAGAAAAAAATTGGTACTATCTTAAGTTTTAAGATGATACAACAATTCTACTCCTTGGTATATACCCTGGACAACTCAAGCATATTTATACCAACTGACAGACATGTACATATATGAATATTTATAATAATAGCTTGTGAAAAAATTGAAAATAACCTAAATATCCATTAATAATAGAATGACTAATAAATAACATATACATAGAATGAAATGCTATATAGGAGTAAAATTGAATGATAGCTATATGCATTTTTACATGAATGAATCTCAGAAGTATAATGTTGAATGAAAATAGCAAGTGACCAATTAATACACCAGTGGTTCCCAACCTTTTGGCATCAGGGACCAGTTTCATGGAAGACAATTTTTCCACAGACCAGGAAGGGGGGTGGCCAGGGTGGGGAGGTAAGTGATGGGGAGTGGCTGTAAATACAGATGAAGCTTTGCTCACTCAACTGCTGCTCACCTCCTGCTGTGTGTGGCCCAGTTCCTAACAGGCCACAGACCAGTACCAGTCTGCGGCCCAGGCGTTGGGGACCGCAGTAATACAGAGTATAATGTTGTCTAAATGAATTCTAAACATAAGCAAAACTAAATATACTGTTTCATGAATTATACACATTGGGTCCATCTGCAAAGAAACACAAGAGGAGAATAAAAATATAAATGATAGACCCACGCAGGGAAGCAGACTGATAGAGACCCACATAGCTCTGTATATGTATCAAATATCTTACAATTTTTTAGTGGGGGAGGAAAGAGAAAAATACTTCTATTTGAGAAAATGGAAAAAGTCCTATTGAGATTGCCATGCCAATTTCTAGAGATGGTTCAAAGGGGAAAAGAAAAGAAAAATGTGGTAAATTCTAATTTTACCTTTTTAATGTCTATGTTATTTATATGACTTCTTTTCAGTATCTAAAACCTAATAAAGAAAAATATCACATAATCATTTTTATGCATTTATGTCTAATTCAGGTACACTGTCATACTCGTAATTCTCAAATGATTCCAATAACATCCATCCTAACAATAATCCAATATTTACTACTGTAAAGAGGAACTGAAAACTAATTTTACATATCATTTTTCCATACATATTTTATACAAATAAACTAAACATTTGGTACAAATTCTAATTCCACAGTAACCTTTCATATTTTACAAGCTAAAAATATCTAAAAATAAGCACTTTTGACTTTCTAATATTTGCATATGCTCAAGGGAACACTTCACCAAAAGATGGTATGGTTGATTTTAAAAGTCTTTATTTTCACGTACATTTCGATTTAATTTTGAAAAGACTAGCTCCAACTAACACAGGAAATAGACTATAAATGACTATAATTTTTCAATAATCTTTTCTCACAGACTGAAAGAATATTTGAAGAAAACAATTTGAAATTACTACTTGATTATTCCTGAATATAATTCTAACATGTTTATTAACCTGTGACTCTTAACTTCCTTTCTAAGAATCTTTATAACAGGAGTACTATTAATATTTCTCTTATCTGCTTTATAGATAACATTGAAGGTTTTTTTTTTTTTTTGAGACAGAGTCTCACTGTGTTGCCCGGGCTAGAGTGCTGTGGCGTCATCCTAGCTCACAGCAACCTCAAACTCCTGGGGCTCAAGCAATCCTCCTGCCTCAGCCTCCCGAGTAGCTGGGACTACAGGCATGCACCACCATGCCTGGCTAATTTTTTCTATATATTTTTAGTTGTCCAATTAATTTCTTTCTAATTTTAGTACAGACAGGGTCTCACTCTTGCTCAGGCTGGTTTCGAACTCCTGAGCTCAAACAATCCTCCCGCCTCGGCCTCCCAGAGAGCTAGGATTACAGGCGTGAGCCACCGTGCCCGGCCAACACTGAAGGTTTTAAGAGAATCCCAATTTATATCAGCAATGAGTATAAATCTCCCTTTCAGCTATAAGGAAAAATATACAAATGAAAAATAATTTTCTAACCTGAAGTAAACTCTTAAATTATCAGTCCTAATATATTCCATATGTCAACCTATGAGGCCCTCTCCTTAAGGAACAGTATCTTCAAATTCTCATCCTTAGTTCAAATATATTCTTTAAAAAAGAAAAACAAAAGATTATTAAAATTGTACTTACTTTAGCCAACAGTTCTTGTGTTTCGGCAGTCAGTGGGGCATGTGAAAACTTGCAGTACTCACCCTGATAACATTTTGTTCCTGTGTGGTAAAACTTGCAAGGATATTCATGTAACACAAGTGTCAAGGAAGAGAACAATTTTAATCCAACTGAAATAATTTTTTGTTATTTTAGTGACTTTATTTTGCCTATATAAAGTCTTTTTATACTAGTAGAAACACTGAATTCTCTATTTAAAATGAGAAAATAAATTAGTAGTTGGGTTATGCAAAAAATCTAATTTTAGAAAGATGATATAAATCAAGTTTATTGACTATCACAAGATACTTTTTTCTTCATATCCATTCTTATAATAGACTACCAATGGGTTTCATTGAAATGTGAAAAGGATATATATTTTAAATACCTTGGGAAATGTGATTATTTTTAATGCATTTTTTTGGGGTAGAGGAATCAGTCAATGATATGCCTTATAAACCTGAATCATTCAAATATTAGGCTTGTTTAAAATAGAATATATTTATACAACTTCAATATTATTTTCTAGGAAAAAAATCCTTAAGTTAGAATTTAAGATTCCTTATATTGAACAACTGAAGAAAAACAACTTTTGTGGTGACCAAAGGTGCTATATTACCCTAAAATGTTTATGCTTCATATTTTTATAACATGTCTTCATCATTTGCACTGAAGAGCTAAGATTATTCTTCAAATTAAGGGACAATTAACCTCTATATAGTACAGAATATACAGGAAATAAGTACTCCCAAATTATTCAATCCCTGCCTTTTTTAATAAAGTAGCTTTTCTGAATATAGATTCAATTAGTCAATGTCACAGGAGAAATTCCGGCAGTCTTTCTGTATGTGTATCAGAAAGGAACTTGAATAGGTCTCATGAACCCTCAATACCACCCAGGTTGAGCAGAAAGAATCATCATTTGAGAGATTGTCTAAGGAAGTTATCTTTTCTTTCTTATGGAAAAAAAAAATCTATGTATAATTTAATCACTTTCATACTAAGCTGGGCTTGGATAATGTAATTTTGTTCTACTAAAACATTGGTTTTATTAAAAATTTTGCATATTTAAAATGTTCATGTAAATATCTATGAAGAGTAAAGTTACTATATCTTGTGATAAAGGATATTATGCAAATACAGACAGTTTTCACCTCTGGTACAATATCCTTGTACATAAAACTTACACATTTCCTTTTTCTTCTCTATCTCTGCATCATGATCAAATTTACACTGGTCTCCCTAAGGCAAAAGAAGGAACAAGGAAAAGTCATTATTTCTTATAGTTAAGTCATTACAATTTAATTTCTATTAAACTTTAAATACACAAACGATTCCAGAAAGAACCAAAGTCTTAGAAGCAGTACAGTCTAATTTTAATGCGTTACCTTGTAAGTACCTCACATATATCTGCTTAAAATTTCCTTAAGTTCTAAACATTTTTAACACAAATAATCTTTTAAAATTATGTACTTTATCTACTTTTTTAAACAGAATACTTTACTAAAATTTTTTAATTGAACCTTTTCCAGAAGGAAACAGTTTCAAAAACCTAAAAGGTATGATTTAAAAGAGTGACGAATAGAAACAGCAGTTTATTTTAGTACATTTAGTACATTTTAGTATATTTTTGCTTACACAGTTTTATACCTTAATACATTTCCTTTCAAGAAAATATTTACAAATTTGTTTTCCCTTGTATTCCACTGTATGTTGGTTGATGAATCCCTGACTCATTCTCACATGCTGCTGCTTCTCTTTAGGTTTACCATCCTTTAAAAACAAAAACAAAAAATTAAATGTGAGAAATAGAAAATTGAATATTTTATTCTGTTGCACAAAATTATTTTAAACCACTGTTAAAATATTAAAAACTCACTCTTCTAAACTGGCCCTCACATGTAAGATCTGGACTGTTGTACATCAGTTTAAAAATGAATGTTTTGTTTCAACAGTTTCAACAGCATTCCACCAGTGAATATTAGTGCTTAGGCAATTTAAATATTTTATATATTGCCCTTAAAAGAGTGAAAAAAATTAAAAAATGAATTTTTTAGTACTTGTGATAAAAAGCGAAGTCTAAGAACAAAGATCTTTAGAACAAGGAGAAAAGTGGAAGTCATGGGGTCAGCCCAAAGCAGTGAAATCTATAGTTTCAATGAGATGCTCAGTGGGCGTGAGTTGAGTATACTGACCAGCTTGAATCAACAAATGTCATTAGAAATATACCCTCAAATATGGTGATAAAGATATAAAACTAAAGGTCATTTTTATATAAAAAACAAAAGGGGAATTTTATAATACATTTGAGCTCTTCAGAAATATATTACTTTTAACATGTAGTACATAGCTTACAGTTTTTGCATACCAAATTTTTGAATACAGTTCTAGGAATACAGTATGTACAAACAAAGGACCTGACTGTACAGTTATGTGATCTGCTTTGCAATAATGTTAAATTTCCACTTAGCACCATCAAAATTATGCCTTATAAGTGTCAGTTTAAATCTCTGATTTTATTTGGTTATATTATTAAAGTCTATCATACATGTTCAGAATTTGTTCCTCATGTATAAAGACTGTTAGCTTTTGCTAACTAATCATTTGATTCAATGTAAATCAAATGAAAGGGAGTACTGACTGGGCCAGGACACAAAGTTCTAGCCCTGGCTTGGCCCTGTGTGACTATGGACAATTATCTGAACCCTAGGGCTTCAGAATCCTCATTTGTAAAATAAAAAGGCAGGGATAGATTTTATATAATGGATTTGATCCATAATATTTGGTATTTCTAATATTTTGTAAGCCCTTACTCTTGTCCCCTGTGACAAGCCTAATAAAAAGTTTGCCATTCAGTTTAAAGTCCATTTTTCCATCAGAAAAGCAAAGTTGAGAAGAGTCACTTATTGTCCTATCCTGATTACACCTGCAGACCAAGGAAGAGGAATTTCTATAAACAAAATCGCAATACTAGGAGGGTAGTGGGTAGGGAGACTTGGTAAGGCCAATGCCCAGAAATGTTCATTTTTAATTTCTAGAGGGAATCACGAATCAACAGATGAAGGACAAACTTTGTAAGACTCTATGGCCTTTGAAATGACCTCCTGACTCTTGATCTTCTCTGGGCTTCCCATTTTTCCATAGTCATTGACAGGACAATACTCAGAAATCAAGGTGCTTGTATTCATGTACTCAGGGACAACAGGGAGAACACTAAGGCTTAAAATGGCTGCTGGCAGCTAGTGAGTGAGAGGGAAGGAAGATGCAATAATAAGAAAGAACATGGAGAGCCCACTCTCCCGGCAAAAGGAGATCTTCACCATCGGAAAACCCTGATTTTGTGGGATGCTCCCATCTCTCACTATCACACAGAACTTCTTGTCACTGAAGTATTAAGACAAAAATCATACAGGGGTCCTCCTCCAAGCATATGATCCTATACCTCTTCCTGTGAGCCACTGTTCTTCAGCAAAGCATTTGGTCCCTTGTTTCCAGTACCAGGCCATTTTCGCTTCATTTTCTTCTTTTTACCATTCTTGTGACCAGCTTTAATATTTTTATTTTTTTGTTTAGCAGCTAAAAACAAAAAAAATTAATTTAAAAAATAACACAGAAGTATAATAGCAGTTTACTTTTTTCTTCCTTTTTTTTTTTTTTCAGTAACCAGACAATGAATGAATATAGTTTACTTCTAAGAAGTATATCTTAGAATAATCCAGGGCAAGTTCTCCACAGCTCAGTGAGGGAAAACTGGTAAGATACTGACCTGTCTTTCTAGAATTTCTGGGATTAAGAGATCAAAAAGAGAATTATAATATACACTGGATTCTCAATTCATTCCTTTTTTTTTTTTCCTGAAATATCTTCCAGAGCACTCCAATTCATTCTTTTTGAAAATATATAAGATATTGTCAGGAAAAAAGCAAGATAATTAATGAAATCAATGTTACAAGCCACAAGCCAGATCCTTTTGAAGTGTTCAGAGTATGAGGGATCTAATTAGGAATTGCCATAGCACTATAAGGGTAAAAAGCTTCAAATATTTAAAATGACTTCGTATATTACTGTCATATTTTTCATTGAAAACATTTTATATAGATTTAATCTATAGATCCATTTTAAATAGAAAAAACACTTAGAGGAAGAAAATAAGAGAATTACGAATTTCATGTACAATTGCCATTTGCCTCCGTATTTATGGCCAAATCTCATTTTAGTAATCTAAAAGCATATGTTTCTGAGTTCCAGTCTGACATACAACCAGTCAATTCTTCTTCAAGTGACAGCAATAAAAACAGGCATCCTATCCTTTATACATGCAGAGGCCAGGGATTTAGCATTCTCCCTTTAGAAAAAGACATGACCTCTGTTATACAGCCCACCTGCACCCCTAGTTCCTGCAAACAGTGTATATTTATACACCAAGCAGCCAGGTCTTAGGTGGGATCTCAGGCCATACAAGCTCACGCCTGGTGTACAGATCCATGAAAACCATGATCGTATCATGAGATAAGGTACAAGGAAACGATCCCTGCCCATATATGGACAACTGTGATGACTTCTTTAGATAAACTTTAAATGATGAAATATTAATAGTTTGATCCTTACCCTGTTGAGTATCTTTTGCTCCCTCTTTCTTCATAGATTCTTCAGGAAATGGTAGGGGTTGAGCAGCATTTGCCATTTCTTTAGCTTGTATGTACTGTTGAAGCTCTTTGGCAAAACTATCTTCTGATTCCTGACTGCAGATATCATTATCACTATATACATCATAGTCCTTACTTCTTGATTTTCTATGTAGCAAACTCTTCGGTGATGTTGTAGAGTTTCCAAAGTACCTAAACTAAGTAAAAATTGAATTTTCAATTTTAAAAACCTAATATGATTCAAAACAATCTGGTTATACAGAAGAAACAAGATTGGCCACAAATTCATCATTGTTGAAGTTAGGTGTTGGGCACATGGGGTTCATATAGTATTCTCTCCACTCATATATTTGTAATTTTCCAAAATTAAAAATGAACTAACAAACCGGTATGACCTATCCATCTTTAAAGACAATTTAAGGGAAGATTCTGAATTTATACACTGTACGCATTTTACTGAATTAAAAGTCTAAACCCGGCACTCTAGCCTGGGCAACACAGTGAGATTCTGTCTCAAAAAAAAAAAAAAAAAAAAAAGTCTAAACCCCCAAATCTTAATTATTTGATATAAATGGATTATAGTATTCTCACATTGCATTTCTGCCTTTGCATTCGCAATACTTTTATTATTTTCTCTTTCCTTTTTTTAAATTTTAATAGATTTAGGGGGTACAAGTTGAATTCCACACATATATTTACTGTGAAGTGATAGAGGCTGGACTTTGGTGTACCTATCAGCTGAGTAGTGTATATTGTACTCCATAGGTAATTTTTCATCCCTCATCCTCAGCACCTCCCCCCGTGAGTCTCCAATGTCTATTATACCACTCTGTGTGCCCTTGTGTAGCCATATTTAGCTCCCACTTATAAATGAGAACATATGGCATTTATTTTTCTGTTCTTGAGTTACTTCACTTAGGATAATGGTCTCCAGTTCCATCCAAGTTGCTGTAAAAGACATCATTTCATTCTTTCTTATCGCTGAGTAGTACTCCGTAGTGTGTATTTTCTTTATCCACTCATCAGTCAATGGGCATGTAGGCTGATTCCGTATCTTTTGTGACTGAGAATTGTACATTGATAAACATATGAGTGTAGGTGTCTTTTTGATATAATGATGTCTTTGACAATACTTTTAAATGTCTTGATTCAATAATTTACCATTTCATAAAACACCATGTAAACTATTATGGCCCATTTAACTTAAGATACATTTCAGCTACCAAAGCCTACTCTTTCTCCTGTAACCCATAGCAGTGATGGCAGCAACAACAAGGAAGAAAGAACTTCCTGTTATTTGTAATCAAGTTCACTTTAGAAATAGTTTTTCTAACTCTGTTGTTGAAAGTGTCCCCAAGGCAACATCAGAGAATCCAATCACTCACTGGAACAGAAACCCAGGTATGGGAGCTGATTTTGCAGGAGCCCAAGCTGATCATAGCAGATGACATAAAGCAATTTCTGTATAAAAATTTTCAAGTATCCGTTACACAGTTATCTACACTTGGTGACAGAGGTATATCAAACTGTATAATTACAATTTATATAAATTTTAATCAAAAAGTTTATTTTTAAAAAATGACCAAGTCCCAAAGGGCTCCTATTCTGATATCAGGAAGAGATGACATCCCTATAATTACAGTGGCCAATGATTCTGTTTCCAAGAATACTTGGTGGCCTGGTCTCTTATTTACTTTCACATGATAATTGACTGAAGCAGCACAAAACAAAAAACAAAACAGTAGAATCACTATTATAAAATATACTAGGTGTCCCAATTTAATGGTTTACATGTGATGGTTAATTATAAAACTAGGAGTTGTTCCACCAGATTGATTATAAGTCTAGAAAATGAACTTGCTCCCTGTTTAAAGAATCCAAACAAGTTGAGGAAGTTTCTTGATCTGACAATGGCTTCAATGTATATCTTTTATCTTCATTATGCCAGACAAGACTACCAACCAATCTAACAATCTTCAGGCCACCAAGTTCTTTGTCTCCAAGTTTTCAAAAGAGAGCACCTTTGTCAAACTAACACCATAGAACAAACTTGTAAATGTAACTTCTGGACTGATAGGTTGGGGTAAGCAAATTTCAGCCTGGCCACCTGTTTTTGAAAATAAAGTTTTACTGGAACACACTCACACCCATTCATTTACATACTGCCTTAGTTGTGACAGAGACAACATGGTCCACAAAGTCGATTCACTGTGTGATCCTTTATGAAAAAGTTGGCTGACTCCTGTGATAAAGACTGTTATGTTTACCTTGGTTCTGCCCTTTAATTTTACTTGGTGGGCACAGGGGGAACGAAAAAGATTATTCAATATGCAGCAGCTCCCACAATTAGCTTCCTCAAACACATAGAGATAAGATTCTGTTCAGTGTATTCAAATCGAAGTATTAAAATGATCCAAATGAGTCATTAAGTGTCCTCCACTTGCACAAAATACATAGGCCTACAGTATTGAAGCAATTCCTTTTACCACAAGTAATAACACATCTGATTTGTATTAAATGAAGACATGAGATGATCTGGCAACATTAATAAAACTGGGACAATCATCAATTATGTTGTTTTATTATACAGTAGCGATGAATATTACTAATGATTCTTTTCAGAAGGCACTGAAGTACACAAAATGCATATTACTGAATACTTTTCTTCACTTAGCTAGCTATAAACTCAATGCTTCAGTTTGTTGTTCACAAAGGTATAATCTGGAAAGTGTACAAACATGATTATAACCCTTTTCTCCTTTTGTGAAGGAGTCTAAATAAAGTAGCTTTTTTTTTTTCAAGTAAAAGGTTTTCTTGCTTTTGATTCAGGATGGCTTAGGAAACTAGTATGGCCTCCTGACACCCCACAGAAATAAAAGTACAGAGAATAGTGTGTATGTGTCTGGGAGGCATGAAGTGTGTTCATCAGTAACTGACAGAGTTCAACAAATTTCTGACAATCAAAAAGGAGGTTATGCTCTAGAGCAGTGGCCTCCAACCTTTTTGGCACCAGGGACCGGTTTCATGGAAGACAATTTTTCCACAGACAGGAGTCGGGGGAGGCGAAGCTGGGGCCAGGGAGGGGTCAAGCAGAGCTCTGCAGCCCGGTTCCTAACAGGCTGAAGACTGGTACAGGTACTGGGGGTTGGGGACCGCAGCCTAGAGATTGGGCTTAGGTTGGAGTGTGAGAAATGGGGCTATAAATGACGATGCATTATAATTCTACATGAAAACAAAGCTATTATAACAAATTTTCTCTACCCTACCCCTCACCAGACATAATCAACCAGGAACTTTCCCTGAGAAAAGAGAGGGCTGTTTATCCAAAGAAATTGAATAAAAAGTCTGGTAAAAGGTAAGGCTTCACATGTGGGCAGTAAAACCACCCACACAGGGGTACTAAGTCTTCTATGTGTATTTGGGAAAATACACCAGAAAATACACCCTACCAGAAAAATACTCCATCCCACTCACCCTAAAGCAGAGGTTTTCACCCTCCTATCCAGAGACTCCATCCCCACGGTTTATGGATTAAATTCAGAAAATTCAGTGAACTTAGATGGGAAGAAAATCACATATTATTTTCATCAACCCCTAAACTGACATTTTGTATTTTTTCCTGTTTTGAACAAACCATAGTAGTACCAGGAATACCTTGACTGTCACTAATACAAATCACACGTATTTTCATATATTAAAGTTGCTACAGATCTCAAAATATTTTTTACATTTACCACTACTTCAAAATTAGAATAATTAGACCCACTGCTAGGTCTTACTATTTAGTGCATTAGTAAAGAACATATTACTCTTACCGCATTTATCTTTACTATTTTGATAAGCTGTATTTCAGTAAAACCAATTTTCTTTGTAATCCAACATATTTTATTTTACACACTTAAAAACTATGCTCTGAGCAGGGGCCCATAGGCTTCTCCAGATTGCTAAAGGGGGTGCATGGCACAAAGAAGGTTAAGAACTGTTATGCTGCTGGGAAACCTACCCACCTATGCAGCCTACTCACCTACTGAACGCCCAGACAGGCTTCCTTCCCATTTAGAGGAAAGGCCAATAGAGACACAGACCTACCAAACACAACAGCAGAGGATATCCATCGACTCTCCAGGCCTTTCTTAAATGAAGGGACAAGAAGGGAAGATAAAAGCATGTCACAAAAATCTAAGCAAGGGTCAGCAAACTACAACCCAAGGGCCAAATCCACTCTGCCACCTGTTTTTGTAATAACCCACAAGCTAAGAACAATCATTGCTTTTTTTTAAATGGTTGTAACAACAAAAAATTAAAAAAATATTTCATGACATTTGAAAATTATATAAAATTCAAATTTTAGTATCCACAAATAAAGTTTCATTGGCACACAGCCACTCTCATTTATTAATGTATTATACTGGCTGCTTCCAAACTGTAACAGCAGAGTTGAGTAATTGCAAAAGAGACCATTATGGCATTCTCATCAGTTCACAAAGATGCCCAGTGCACTACAAACTGCAGTAACGGTTATAACTCAACAGCATTTTGAGTTCCTCATGCCATTTTACTTTATTTCTTTCATTACCAGTGCATACCCACCAGGTCAAAGCATGAAAAGTAGACTTCGAATGTAATGCATTTAAAGGCATAGTGAAGTGTGGATTATTTTACTGTCAAATTAGATGGCAAAGCATTGTGGTTCTTATTAACATGTAATGATACTACAGCAGTACTAAAATAACACAATATATGTGGACACTACAATATTAAGCATTCATCACAATATTCCCAACTCACAAGAAAGTAACAGTCAGAAAAATAAGAAAACTTAAAACAGATGATTTCATCACAAATTTCTTTCTTCACAGAAATAAAAAACAAAAACAAAGCCTCAATCAAAGCAAGTTTCTGAGCAGCTCATTTGTTAGCCAAGACAGCTGATGGTGAGTTAATGAAATCATGCTTGATTGCAGCAGTTGAAGAGCTGCTCAAAGACTGAGGAAACTGGGAGGAACTTCAACAGACAATTAAAACATGAGACAGGCCGGGCGCGGTGGCTCATGCCTGTAATCCTAGCACTCTGGGAGGCCGAGGCGGGAGGATTGTTTGAGCTCAGGAGTTCGAAACCAGCCTGAACAAGAGCAAGACCCCGTCTCTACTAAAAATAGAAAGAAATTAATCGGACAACTAAAAATTTATAGAAAAAAATTAGCCAGGCATGGTAGTGCATGCCTGTAGTCCCAGCTACTCGGGAGGCTGAGGCAGGAGGATCGCTTGAGCCCAGGAGTTTGAAGTTGCTGTGAGCTAGGATGATGCCACGGCACTCTAGCCCGGGCAACACAGTGAGACTCTGTCTCAAAAAAAAAAAAAAACATGAGACAAATGATTTCAAGTGGTTTTCCCTGGCTCTTAATGAGTTGACAGATGTTACTGAGACTGCTCAGTATCACTGTGCTGTTCTAAGTTAAAACAGAAGCAAGATCTCCATAACTACATTAATTTGCTGGATATATTTTCTACATTCAAACTACAATTTCTGTACTGTTTTTTCAGACTTTAATACAAGAGCAAAAGAAACTGCCATTTCATAATCCATTTACTATGCAACTGAGGGGCTTCTGCTTAACCTCCAATTGGAAGCGATTAATCTGCAAAGTAACAACATACTAAAAGACAAATCTAGTGAAGAATCTAATAAAGTTTCATAAATGCCTTCTAGGCAATGAATATGCTCAATTAAAATCATATGCCAGTGAACTGATATCAGTATTTGACAATATCTATCTGTAGTGGGAAGATATTTTCAGAGATGAAATAAAGTCCTATTATATATCAGCATAACAGATGAATTTTGCAATCAATTTTGATGGTAAGGAACAGTAAATTTGAACCCCAATTAAGCAAATAATTATCCCATAAAGAAGAACCTCGTTCTTCTCATTAGTAGACCTGTATTATAAAAACAATTATATGCTTAATTTTGTCAATAAAAAGTTGTGGAAATTTGTTTTCTCTCTTTCATTACGTAAGTACCTACATAACGTTCTCAATTTTTCGTCTTGGCTTGAAAAGCCTAAAATATTTACTGTCTTATCCTCACAGAAAATGCTTACTGATCCCTGATCTAGAGAATAAAACAAAAGAGCAAGAAAATAACTGAAAAACTGATCCAGAAGAAGCAAATATGATTCCAGGAAAAGAATTCAAAATTTTAAAAATAAATACGGAAAGATATTCAAGATATTATATTCAAAAAACAATGCTAGAAAGCTTTAAACACAAGAATGAGCTCCTAAATAGTTAAATTATAACTTTTAAAATAAAGATAAATGTAAGAAATTCTTAGAATACAAAGAAAAAAGAGATAAAAAATAAGAGATGATATGTGTCATATACGAAGGATATGAGTATGGTCTCACCACAATAACACTAAGCACAATGAATGAAGAAAGACTTATAATCTCATATAATGAAGAACACCAAGAATAAAGAAACTAGAATCAAATCGGTAAGATTTCACCTTTGCAACACTGGATAATAGAAAACAACGGAGCAATAACCTCAAACTTAATTCTATTTCAGGCAAACTATGAATTATGAGGATAAATTCAAGATATTTTTGGAAATGTTAATAAGAATTCAAAAATTTATCTTCCACGCATTCCTACGTAAGGATGTATGCCAACCAAATGAGAAACCAACAGTTAGAAAATGATACTTTGAAAAAGATATAATTTACAAGAGCTTCAATAAACACTGAGCAATAAATGTAACAAAAGGTATGTAAGATGTGAGATATCTACCAAGAAAATTATAGGCATACCTTGTTTTATTGCTTTTCGCTTTACTGCACTTCACAGATGTGGTTTTTACAGATTAAAGGTTTGTGGCAACTCTGCATACAGCAAGTCTATCTACGCTATTTTTTCAACAGCATGTGCTACACTTCATGTCTGTGTGTCACATTTTGGTAATTCTCACAGTATTTCAAACTTTTTCATTATTATTGTATCTGTCGTGGTGATCTGTGTCTGAGATCAGTGAGCTTTGTATTTTTTCGTATGTATGTATGTAAGTATGTATGTATTTATTTGTTTGTTTGTTTGAGACAGGGTCTTGCTATATCACCCAGACTGGTCTCTAACCCCTGGGATCAAATGATCCCTGGGGTCAAACGATCCTCCCATCTCAGCCTCCCAAATACTGGGATTACGGGGGTGAGCCACTGTTCCCAGCCATGTGATCAGTGATTTTTGATGTTACTATTGTAATTGTTTTGGGATGCCATGAACCCTGCCCATATAAGACAGTGACCTTAATGGATAAGTTGTTTGTGTTCTCCACTACAGGCTATTCTTCTGTCTCTCTCCCTTTTCCTTGGTCCTCCCTATTTCCTGAAACACAATGATATTGAAATTAGGCCAAGTAATAACCATACAATGGCCTCTAAGTGTTCAAGTGAAAGGAAGAGTCACATGTCTCTCACTTTAAATCAAAAGCTAGAATTAAGCTTACTGAGAAAAGTTCAAAAAGAGAAAAAGAAAGGTAAGAGAAGAGCATATATTATCTTTGTTATGGGTTGAACTGTGCCCTCCCAAAATTCTTATGTTGAAGTCCTAATCCCCAGTAATTCGGAATGTGGCAATATTTGGAAACAGGGCCAGGACGGGCATAATTAGTTAAGATGAGGTTATTAGGTGGGCCCTAGTCCACTACGACTGATGTCCTTATAAAAGGGAAATCAGACACAGGCACACAGGGAGAATGCCATATGAACATGAAGGCAGAGATGAGGGTGATACTTTTGCAAGCCAAGAAGGCCAAAGATTGCCAGCAATGCATCAGAAACAAGAGGAGAGGAATGAACAGGTTCTTCTTCACAGCCCTCTGAAGAAACCAACACTACCAATACCTTGTTCTGGGACTTCGGGCCTTCAGAACCATGAGACAATAAATTTCTATTGTTTAAGCCACCCAGTTTGTGGTACTTTGTCATGGCAAACCTATCAGACTAATACAGGCTTTAAACTATAAATCACTAAGGTTGGTTAAGTTAGCAAATCAAAGCCCTCAAAATTTTAATCTAATGTAAAAGAAGTTTTTGAAGCAGTTTACAACCCATTTCAGAAACAGGGAAAATCAAAACCAATTACTAAAAACAATTCATGTTAAATGGCAACAAATAAAGTATAAACAAGTTTCCCTGATGTAAGTAAGTGGGTCCCAAAAGCTGACTAAAATGAGACCAACAGGATCCCTCATGAATTTCTCACATCCATTCCTATCTGTTTTTTCAATATGCCAACTTAATCTTACTTTTTTGGGAATTTGCTCACACTTCAGATTAACTTCCCATTTTATTTTCTCTTCTTGTGTTTCTTCAACTTCTGTATCATCTATTTCATCATCGATTCTGTAGCAAAAATATCAAATAACACAAAAGGGTTTTTCAACCTGAAAAGGGTTCATACCACAACATTAAAATTAACTGTTTTGGCTTGTCTTCAACTTGCCCTGAAAGAAATTCCAAATCAGTATTCCAAACACTCAAGATAAATAATGTACAAAATTATGGTGAGCAGTAAATGTCAATATGTTTATAACTAATCTGTACAACTGAAATTTTAGATTACACAACCTTAATGTTCAGGTATTAGCAGCTATATAAATCATTTATTCATTTATCATTCCCTTTACTCAACAAATACTGAGTATCCACCATATACCAGGCTCTAGGGCTTATCTCATGCTACAGTAAAAAAGACAGACCTTGTTCCTGCCTTCTAAGAACTTTCTACTTGCTTGGGAGAAAAAAATAAAGCTGTTTCAAAATGGTGTGATAAGTATAGATGCATATATAAGGAACACTTAACCTGTACTTGGGGGCCAGGGGCTTTCTGAACCTAAAAGATATGTAAGAGTTAGCAAACAAAGAGCAATGTAAGGGAGAAAGGTATTTCAGGCAGAATGAAGGGTGCCTTCTGAGACTAGGAAGGAGACAAACATACTCAAGCATAAAGATGAAAAAGAAAAATTGTGTTCAGACTCATAGGACGGAGAAGTTGACCCTGCACAGACATCAATTACTTGAGGATACTGAAACAAAATGAAAAGTAAATTCAAGAGAAATGAAGATGGGAAATATAAGAAACTGGTGAACAAAGAAGCCAATAATATGTATAGGCGAATCTAATTAATGCTTGACGCTAGAGATACAGGGGGCTGAAGAAAATAGTGAACACAAGATTGTTATGTGTCAGACAAAGGCCAGGAACAGGCAATGTGTCTATTCTCAAAAGAACGTGTTACAAACGGAAGGCACTGCTAGCACAAGGAGAATATGGATAGTGGCTTTGTGCTTCTTTCAAAGTTACAGGAACTTGGGCTTCACAGCTTCATCCAATTCAACAGTTTATATCGATCTTGGAGCTCCTGAGTTACATTCGTCAGATGAGGTGCCAAGCTGTGAGCCTTCTACCAAAGCTACCATTACTAGAGCCAAAAAAAATCAAATACTTGTGAACCTTTATTGCTCCAGTTTCCAGTAACGAATCATCTCTTGGAGTAGGAGGCAACCTGTCCTTAGGCACAGAGATAATGACTACGATAGCAGTAACAGCAGCGGCCAACACTTGCATTAACGCTTACTTTGTGCCAGGTGTTGCTGCATGCACATTCCACTTATCACAACAATCCTATGATACATATATTATTGCTTAAAAACCCCATTTTACAGATGAGAAAACTGAATTACAAGAAGGATGCATAACTTATCACAGAGCTAGTCAAATGGCGGAGCTGAGATTTGAGCCAGGCAGGCAAGCTTCCAAGTGTGCCTTAAAACCACACCCTATTATTCTATATTGCCCACTCCAAATAGGTGTCTACTTCCACCACTCCACTGTTAAGGTCTACAACTCTGTGCCCATATTACCTGACCTATGAGCAGGATGAGATAGAGTTGACCCTCTCCTCCGTAAAACATGTTCTTTACTTGGCTTCAAGGATACTCAGCTCTCCTAGTTTTGTCTTCCTCACCAGGCACCTCTTCTCAGTCTCCACTGTTGGCTGCTCATCATCACAACTTTAAATGTCAGTCCTCAAACCTCTTTCTTCTTTGTATTCTTATTCTAGGAGTTGATCTCCTTCTACCTCATGGCTTTGAATATCATCTATATGTAATTGATTTCAATATCCAAGTCTCCAACCCAAACCCCTCCCCTTAAAACCAAACAGAGCTAACTTCCCATTCAACATGACCACCTGGATATCTACCAACATATGTAATCTTAACATATCCAACACTTAACTCCTGCTCTTCTCTCTGAAACCTAATCCTCCTGCTATCTTAAACAGCAACTCCATCTCTTTCATGATACTGACCAAAACCTTAAGGTCAATCTTGACTCCTTTTATAAACCCCCTCCAATCTGTTAAAAAAATGCAGTTTGTTCTATCTTCAAAATACACCCACATTTGACCACTTCTTGCCACTAATAATCCAAGTTGCTCTCAGTCCCCTACATTTTACCCTCAACATAACCAGAATGACCCTGCTAAAATATGTTGGATGTCACTCACTGCTGAAAGCCCTCCAATGGCCTCTCATGTCAGTCTGAGTCAAAGCCAAAGCCCTTAGTATGGCACCTACAAGTCCCTACATGATCTTCCTCCCTCGGACCTACCCCAATACCTCTCAGACTTTGAGTCCTACTACTCTTACTCCACTCTAGTAGGCATTCTGGCCACTTTGCTTCCCTAACCCAACCACACCAAGCTCACTCCATCTCAGGACTTTTCCACAGAACATACAGAACATACTCCACCTCCCCAGACAGCAACTCCCCTCACTTCCTTAAAGTCCCTATTCAAATGTTACTTACCAATGTGATCAATCAGGCCCTCCTTAACTACCTTTAAAATATCTACACACTCCCTACCGTCTCACCAGTGCTTCTGTTCCCCTCACCCATCTTTCATTCTCTCTAGGGCATTTAACATCACATAAAATACTGTACACTTACGTATTATCTGTCTCCCCCTCCCCCAATCGTGTAAATTTCATTAGTACTGGAATTTTTTTCTTGTTCATTTACTGCTATATCACCAAGGCCTAGAATAATGTCTCCTACATAGCATGTATTCAGTAAACTTCTTTTGAATGAATGAAAATATTTTCATCCAAAAATTACTAGTAAAAAATCAGAAATCATAAGAGAAAAGATTGCTTCATTTACACAAAACGAAAACATCCCCACATCTTTACGCATTGAGAAATAAAGCCATAGGTAAAGTCAAAGACAATGACAATTAGGAGTAAAATATGTGCAGACAAGAGATCCTAAAACTTGAAAGATACCAACAGCCAAAGAGAAAAATGGGCAAATGATATGAATGGACAGTTCACCATACTTCCATGTCATTCTTCACCTATGATTTTGGCAAAATTCCAAGTATTTTTTATGTGCTTCAGTTAAGTTTTTGTGAATGGATCTTTTGTTCGATACATTTTCAAGTTGATAGCTGATACTGGTTTTTAAAATGATGCTATTATCTTTTTTGGTGATGAATTCTCTTAATGTATTTCATAGTTTAGCGATTGGTTCCTCTTGTTTTTCTTAGTAAATGATATCATCTACAAGTAATTAGTGTCTTTATCTCTTTCCAACATTTATAGGTCTTATTTTATTTTAGAAGCTCGGTGATAAAATCATGGGTCCTGGAATCAGACTGTCTGGGCAACTTAATCTTAGCTTTGCCGCTTACACTGTGCAATCCTGACAGGTTATTTAATGTCTCTGTGCCTCAGTTTTCCCATCTGTAAAACGAAGACAGCATTATCTTCTCCTTAAGGTTGTTGTGAGGGCTAAATGATATATTTCATGTCAAGTGTGTAGTAAAGATCCTAATGATCAGTTAAGGTAATAGTTTCAATTAAAGCATTTGAGATGGAGTGAAATGAGTGGATGAGTGATACCGAGAAGTAAAATCAACCAGAATCGCTGACACACCTGAGTCGAGGGAAATAAAAGAATGTGCGATCTGAGTCAAGGTTTCGGCTTAGGGAAATTGGGGAACGTAGAAGACATAGGTTTAGGAGAGATGGTTTTTAGCACTTAAAACTGCAACGAATAAAAAGTGAAAGAATATCTGGGTGTAAACAAACTACATTATACACGTCTCCAAGAATGAGACCAACAAATTAGCGCCATTTGGCCAAGTCTCACTTGCTTTTTCAACCTAATGGAATTATTAAGTCCACATGGTGTTTGTTGCTTTGTTACGGTCTTTAGGGTTTTCTGATGCAAATCAGTGAACTAATGACAGAGTTATTCACTACTTATCCTTTAACGTTTAATAAACTTGTGTTTTCGTCCTTTCTACAAAAAAGAGCCTAGCATGTGTCTGTCAGTGGAAAACGACAAATGATCTCTGTCCTTTGGGAGCTTATGGAAACAGGCAAGAGGGCAACAGGCTATGGGAACACAGAGAGAGGCAAGCTCCTAACCAGCCTAGAGGAGCAGGTGCACAGAGAAAGGAGAGCATCCTAGAGCCTCCTTGCTCCCACCGCTATCGCTCCCCTCGCCCAGGCTCTCGGGGCCCCTGGCCGTCGCGGCTACGAACTGGACCCCATCTCCGGCTTCTATCCCCCCTCCACCCGCACGACCTCTCCCGGTTCGACTGTCGCGCCCGGCCAGGGCCGGCCCACGTGCTCCCCACGGGCCCTCGCGGCGCGGCCCGGACGTGGCCCCGCGCAGCCTCCAATCCAGAAGGAACGAAGAGGCGGAGCCTGGCTGGGGCCCTACATTCAAAGGATGAAAAGATGTGGGATCACCTTTTGTCAGAGTCCGAGGCCGGTTTTTTGCCGAGGGCGGGGTTGGGAGGTTTTGAGAAAAGATTCTCAAAATCCATTACCCAGACGGGAGCCTCCCTTTCGCGAGCCCGGTCGCCACAGAGTAACAACCACAGTGCGAGGACAGGCAACCGGCTCCGCTCTTAGGGCCGCAAGCCCCGCCCTGCGCACGCGCCGCTCGCACGCGCACGCGCACGCGCCGCACCGCCCCGGCGACTCTGCGCACGCCGGCTCTCTCCCGCGCCTCATCGGCTCTGCGCACGCGCCAACTAGTTACTTACGTTACCTTGTGCTTTTTCACCCATTATCTCAGACAGAATTTTTTTAATTTAGTCCTTAGGCTTCTGCTTTCTTTCATTTTGGTGAAAACTCTTAGATCGAAGTCACAATGTTTCTGAGGAACGGTAGCAATAGCTACAATTTATTTTTTCTATTGTTTTTAATCATTTTTATTTCAAAATATTAGGGGGTACAAGTGTTCTTGTTGCATGGATAAATTTTATAATGCTGAAGTCAGGGGTTTTAGTTTTCCCAGCACCAGAATAGTGTACACTGTAGCCGCTAGAATTTATTCGAGCACTCTTTTACCATTCCTTAGAAATATCTTTTCAAGTCTTAGCTGACTTAATCATCATAACAGGATTATGAGGTAATCTGTGTAAAATATGTACTATTACTATCCACATTTTTTAGATGAATAAACAAAAATGTAGACAGGTAATGTAACTTGTAGGGTCTCTGTAATCGAATGAGGTTAAAATAAATACACAAGTAAATTTAAGGCAGAAAAGTCCATTAAAAAGTACCAAGTGCTAAAAGAATTCAAAAGAGGGAAAAAACAGTACATCCAGTTGGAAAGACTTGGAGGGGAGGGGAGGTGGCTTTTAGCTTGGTCTAAAGATAATTGCTGACCGACCGGGCGCGGTGGCTCACACCGGTAATCCTAGCACTCTGGGAGGCCGAGGTGTGGGAGGATTGCTTGAGCTCAGGAGTTCGACACCAGCCTGAGCAAGAGCGAGGCCCCGTCTCTACTAAAAATTGAAAGAAATTAGCTGGACAACTAAAAAAAAAAAATATATATATATATATATATAAATAAATAAAATTAGCCCAGGCATGGTGGCGCATGCCTGCAGTCCCAGCTACTCGGGAGGCTGAGGCAGGAGGATCGCTTGAGCCCAGGAGTTTGAGGTTGCTGTGAGCTAGGCTGACGCCATGGCACTCTAGCCCAGGCAACAGAGTGAGACTTTGTCTCAAAAAAAAAAAAATTATAATTGCCATAGGAAGAGATGAAGTTAAGGAGTAAATGGGCATCCCGAATGGAGAGACTTGTATGAAGGCAGGAAAATAGAGCACACAGTTGGAAAACAGTTTTGCTTAACATAGTGCCATATAAAGGCATATAGTAGCAAACATGGCTCAAACTTAAGGTTGGGCCAATGACAGAGAACCTGACTTGTTTCTGTAAGTGAAGGGACTGTTTGATTCCTGGCACAAATCAGGGTCCACTCCACAGACAAGTGAAGGGAATTCTTTGAGGTTAGACAGCTTCCTCAGGAAAATTCCCCTATTGTTTATAGTATAGGCAGTCACCTTCTAGTTTACATGAATCATTACTAAGTATTGAGAGAAAAATTGAATTAAGTAGATAAAAACTGTAAGTACCCACTTTTACAGGGGTACTAGAACACCAGTTATTACCATACATACTTTTTTTTACATAAAATGTCCAGCATACAGCAAAAGATAACCAGACACAAAAGGAAATTAGATTGATAGGTTAAAAACAGCAAAAACATCAAACAAGAAAAACTGACCTGTGAAGGCATCAGATGAAGTTCCAATACATTCTACATCATGGCTGCACCTTGAAAACAATGTGCTAAGTGAAATAAGCCAGACTCAGAAGGACAAATATTGTATGTTTCCACTTATATAAAATATCTAGAATAGGCAATTTTATAGAGACAGATAGTAGATTAGAGGTTATAAGGGACCCGGGAAGGGCGGAGGTGAATGGGGAGTTATTACTTAATGGCTACAGAATTTCTTTTTGGGGTGATGGAAAAGTTTGGAAACAGATAATGGTGACAGTTGCACAACATTATGAATGTAACTATTACCACTGAATTGTACACTTAAAAATGGTTGAAATGGCAAATTTATGTCATATATATTTTACTAAAATAAAAATAAGAAAGCAGCTGCCATGTTAAGATGATGGGATGGTTTCAGTTACCGTGCTAACTAGGTGTAGTACCTTGTGGGTATATGCTATAAATCAGCGGTCAGCAGTATACGGTGCTTTTCTCCCATAGCCAGGATTCTTGGGGTCTGGGAACCAAGGGGATGGAAACAGGAGTAGACTCTCTCCACATTATCCCTAGTGAGGAACTAGAAAAAAATTCTGCTTCCTATCCAAACTACTTTGGGCTCTGCCGATTTAGAACAGTGTTTTTCAACCTTAGCATTGTTGTCATTTTGGCCTTGATAATTCTCTGCTACAGGGAACAGTCTTGTGCATTGCAGGATGTTTAGCAGCATCCATGGCCTCTACCACTAGATGTCAGTAGCACCTGCTTCCCAGTTGTAGCAACCAAAAATGCCTCCAGACATTGCCAAAGTCCTCTGGGGGCAAAATCGTCCCCAATTGAGAACCACTGGTCTAGAGTTATCAATTCCAAAAGTAGGAAATAGTTCCATCAAGGGACATGACAATGGCTCCTTTAGGCTTGAAGTTGAGACTATCATTTGGCCACTTAGGGCTCCTCAGGCCAGTGAATTAACAGGTAAAGAAGGGATTTATTGTACTGGCAGGGGTGATTAATCCTATCAAGTTATCCTAACTACACAATGAGGTTAAGGAAGACTATGTCTAGAATGCAGGAGATTTCCTGGGGAAGCAGGGCTAAGTAATCCTATATACTATGATTAAAGTCAATAAAAAATGCCACCACCATAGGCAGCACTACAAGTGGCCCAAACCGTTCAGGAATGAAGGTTTGGGTTACTAACCAAGCAAGGAGCCAAGACCAGCTTAGGGCAAAGAGAACATGTTAAAGGAGAGAGGCAGAAGATAGTTATACAGATACCAACTACAACCACATGACCAGTAGCAAAAATTCTTGTAATAGTTATGAATATTTCATCCTTAATTTGATATGTGTACATACATGTGTGTGGAGGATATATATATATAACCTTCCCCTCTACCACTTAACACAAGATAGTAGTTAATTTTTATTTCATTATTTAAGTTATAGGATGTGAAAGGATGCATGTGATTGAGCTAAAAGAAGGATTAAAAGAATGAATATCACCCAAAGGTGGAAAAGGGACTTTTTATTTGTGTGGGGGGTAGAGAATGAGTTAGCATGTTTTTTGGTTGAATGTGGGATAGTTGCATTACGTTAGACAGAGGCATGACTCTGTTATTGCCTTTATCTGGAAGCTAAGTTTGGGTTAAAGAAGTATTTATAGGTGCCTAGTTGAAAGGCATATACTTGGTGATTTTATAATATGTCACCTTGGCTCGTTGAACTGTATTTTCAAGGATTCCTCTTCTGCATGCTTGTAGTTAGGGTAGCCCATAAGAGAGATTTTGCAAAAATTTGAAAGGTGGAAGTGAAACAGCAGCCACATTGTTTTTTACATTCAGGAGGTCAATTAAGGGGCAGCAGATGCTGTTGCAACTAATGCATATTGCCATTTGTCTGATGGTTCACCTTATTGATAAGGAACAACAGCCAGACTTGCAGCTGATGCACCTTACCCCAGAACCTCCTTCAGATTCTCTAAATTCTGGGCCAAGTATGTGCTTAGCTCCATGATAAAGGGCACAAGATTATCCTGTACAACACCTACATCATAAAACTTGAACAGGGTCAGAAACTAACATAGGTTCTGGTTTATCATCAGGGATTCCAGTTTGTCCTCACTCTCCTCCCACTTCACATCCAACTTCCCTTCCTGAATACTTACTTTGTAGATCTTAAGCTCCAGCATCAGATAAAAGCTTTGCAGACTGTTTTAAACAGCTCCCATAATTGCATAAGGTCAAATCCCTTTAAATCAACCAATCTATCTATCTATCTATCTATCTATCTATCTATCTATCTATCTTCTAGTGATTATGCTTCTCTGATAAGACTCTGAGTAATTAAATGGCTTTAATAAAAGACTAGACAGGGTAGAAGAGAAAATTAGTGAACTGGAACACAAATCAGAAGAAATTATCCAGAGTACATCATAGAGAGTCTGCTGCTCCAAATAAAGGAAGCTACAAAAAAGATTATTAGAAATACAAATAAGCCGGGTGTGGTGGCTCACGCCTGTAATCCTAGCTCTCTGGGAGGCTGAGGTGGGCCGATTGTTTGAGCTCAGGAGTTCGAAACCAGCCTGAGCAAGAGCGAGACCCCGTCTCTACTAAAAATTAGCAAGAAATTAATTGGACAACTAAAAATATATAG